TATAATACTATTTAAAGAAATTTTTGATAAATTTATTCTTGATTATACTATTGATCTACAAATCTAAAAATTGAATTTATATAAGTAAATAAACTATATAGTATATAAATAATAAGAAGAAATAATTAAATATCTACTAAAATATTTGATTTACAAGGACAAATTATAAAAAGTATAATATAAAGAATTAAAAATAATACTCAAAGAATTTAATAAGCTATATTATGAAAACAATTTTTTTTTAAAAAAAAATACAATTAATAATATATATTAAAAAGAAAAAAAGAAAAGTAAACAAATAGATATTTAAATTAATTAATATAAGTATACTAAGTTTTTGTGTAGAATAAATAGAAAATAATCTTATTATAAATGCTATTAATCTAAAGTAATATAAAAAACAATTAGCATTAAGGTAAAAAATTAAATTTAAAGATATAAAAGAAGATCTAGAATTAATTTTATAAATAAGTTTGAAATATAAGATTTTGACAAGTAATTTGCAGTAATGATCTATAAGTAATGATATTAGAAGTTGAAAGAATTTTTACTTGAATTACTAATGAAGTGACTATATCGAGTTTATAGAAACAGAAATCTAAAATTAAAATAAATAAGTGAGTTAGAGATATACGTAGATTTAGTGATACATATTTAATGTATAGTATACAAAAGTTTTATTAAAGAATCTAAGTTCAAAAAAAATTTGTTTTTTATATTTTTTGTAAATATTAGACGAATATACAGTATAAAAAATAAAAAATAATATCTATTATAGATTAAAGCAGGTTACGAAGTTGACAGAAACACGACGATCTCGGAGTTGGCGGAAATTTAGAATCCCTAAGACATGAGTCCTTTGACATATGCACTAATAGAAAATGCCTCATTGCCTTTTTGAGTTTAATGTTTTGTTTCTCTTGTTATCCCAATCAATAAAAAAGCAAAAATACCAACTTCTACGCCGATCCCTGATTCTTACGTTTAAGTATAGCATATTTTTTATTTCTTACCCTATATGCTCCTCCTACATGGATATTTTATTGACGGTTTGTAAAATCCGAATTTTATTGGTGTAACAATAGTGGAGTTGAGACGTACACGTTAACATCAAAAACTCCAATAATACAGTGCATCAAATAAATTACAAATTTTCACGCAAACATAAATTTCATTTTTCAGTGTAATTCTTTCCTGGAAGAACGTTTACATAATACAAAGACGCACATATGGAACCTGAACAACAAATTTGATAACTTAGATAAACGTCGATCGAACGTCCGGTAAGCAACGAAAAAAAAAAAAAAAACTATTTTACCTCAACGTCTTCTCCGTCGCGATCATTTACACACATCTCTAGAGTAAGAGCTTTGACGTGCGATGGAATTGGCTTTTTTGAAATCGACTCTACTAATTGGGACAATCTAAAGCAAACGCCATTGAGATTAACCAGATAGTAATGGAAGCCCTTCTCAAAAAATCATTACTAGAAACTATACCGCATGTTTTTACGTTCTTCCTTTTTCTTTCCTTGTAGGAAGAAAGAGTATAACATGGTCACGCCACATGACAACATTGTCACCTCCAATTCGTGATGTGTCGAGAAGTAATTCAAAAACTCTTGGAGAGTGAGATCCCCCTCAATATCAAATCGATCCCATAAACTCCATTCTTTGTCGTGATACTGATTATTTTTAAATCAAACATTACTTTCTCGAATGACCAAATGATCGCAGAAATCAGGAGTCAAGGAGTAATTACTTACTTTGTATACCGGCATGGCAATAGGCTCCGAAAATCCAAAGAACGGCAAGGCTAGATTTACAAAACCATTTCTATAATCGTCTAATTTTTTCTTGCCTGCAATTATTTTGTACAATTCTAGACAAACCAGACCAGTCACTAAGGATGTGGTCGTAGCAATAGCAGGTATAATCTTGCCCGCAATTAGTTTGGTTTTATGACGATCAGCGGGCTGAATTCCATAATTGATGGCGCGTAAGTTCGAAGCAGCCATGATGAAATCAATGTGGAAATTCGTGTCATCGTCCTTTTCGAATTCCACAGGATTCAATCGATATCCTGAAATTGATGAGGGCTCGGGTAATGATTTAATTATTTTCTGTAAATCAGCCTCATCCATTGTCGCTTGTTGAATA